CCCTCCAGAAGTTCCCTGACTAGATCCTCACTGACCCTAGTTCTGGGTGCACCTCCCCTGGGGCCTACGGAGGTCCGGGGGGGGGATGATCCGGTCCCTGCTCAGGAAAATGGATGCAAAGAAATTGTTAAATAAGTTAGCTTTGTCATCTGGTGTGATGACCAGATTTTCTAGCATGTCTTGCAGAGGCCCCGCATTACCTGGTACCTTCTTTTTACCACCTATGTATTTAAAAAAGGACTTCTTGTTGTCCTTGATCTGGGTCGCTATTCCCAGTTCCAACTCTGCCTGTTGACAGCTTGTATTTAGGATAAAGCAATGTACATAAACTTAAACCCCCCAAATGTCATTACATGGACATTTATCATAGAAAGTACATTACACATAGTTACTAGGGTCTAAGTTTTATTTTTCTCTAGTATTTGCTGCTCTCTGTATCAAGAAATTTGTCACACTTAGGGTTGCTCTACACATGGAGGTAAAGGCACAATGGGATCTAATGCATGATCCATACAATTGCACTTTCTGCCATGCACATGTATGCACAATTGTGCTTTCTGTGTATGGCAGGAGTGATAGTGGGATTGTGCATTAAATCCCACTGACCCTTATCATGAATGCAGAGGGAGTCTGGGATCACGATCTCAGCCTCCCACTGCACCAGCTCCCGTGACTGCAAGCCCCGCAGCTGATGGGGCTTACAGGGGAGACAGCATTCCCTGTGCTGCCCCCGCTGCAAGTCCTATAGCCAACATGGGCTACAGGTCTCATAGTGGGGACTGCGGGTGTTGCAGTGTGGGCAGTAGGGAGAATGCTGCCGCTGATGTGAGATTCATGAGATCAGGGACAGGCAGCGGCAGCAGAATTCTCCCCGCTGCCCCCCACTGAGAGTCCTGCAACCAATGACGATGCCCCTGCTGCAAGCCCTGCAGCCAATGAGGCTTGCAGTGGCAGGTCTTGTTAGGCAAGACCTGAAAAAGTGAGACAAACAGGATGTGGACCTACATAATCCAATGGACTTTTGTGTACATTTGATGTATCAGGTCTCTCCTCATTTCTTTCTTTAGGACGAGGACTATTTATTTCTGTGTGTTTGTACAGCACCTAGCACAAGGGCATCCTGAGCATATGGAGGGCCATGATTAGGTGCAATCATAATGTTGTTAAATAAAAAAAGATCTGTCCCTAAAATACAGATAACAATTACTATCTGTATCAGAGTAAAATACCCAAGTCAACAGTACTTTTTAAAGCTACTCCTATGTACAAACACTTTATTTTAATATTGCTTACTAGAACGTTATCAAGATCAAAATGTGCTACTGGGACAACAGTTTACATCTTAACATATTGTTCTTTTTTTCTGTTTTTTCTTGAAACTAACCTCTGTGTGCAAATTCTCTGGTGCAATTACTTTTGTGAAAATAATCGCAGGAGCAGCAGTTATTCGAACTGTGAAATCTGTTAAAATCGGAGTCAAAATTGCTCTTCGTTCTTGATGTCGCTTTATGCTGAAAGAAAGAAAGACAGAAAGAAAAAGGGAAGAGACCATAACATCACATGTTCTTCTTATGTACAGTGCACCTAGTACAGTGGTTCTCAACCTCATTAGGCTCAAGCCACTCCTTGGAAAATGTGTCAGCTCTTAGCTTTCACTTGTTTCTTGACTATGGCAAAATAATAGAGCAATTCTTCTGTTGCAAAGTAATCAAAGCCTACAATAGGTCAGAATGTTGTTGACACTATTGATTCTTATTTGAAATCTCTGGGGTTATCTTGTGAATCATGTGCAAGTGTTTATACACCAGCAGTGCTAATACTGTCCAGCACCCCATAACATCCTGGTTGAGAATTGCTGGCCTAGTACAACAAGGCTTCAAACCTGTTTGGGACATTTGGGTGCTAGCACAGTACAAACATTTATTAATAGTTAATAATCACAGTGGTCACAACTCTACAATCCCAACCCTAAAATCAGTGGGGCTCCATGCAGGACAAAGCTATGTGCAGGGCCAATGCTAATAATTCAAATACATTACTTTACAATTAGGATTACATTATACAGTTCTCTAATGATAACTATTAATACATTGTGCAAATCCACAGTGTCTTCAGTATGTTTAGTTAACATTTGATTCTGCAATCTAATGTATACTGACCTATGCAGAATGATTTATTCCTTGCTGGTTATTTTTCTGCTGAATTCAGCTGTTAAAAACTACTGTGAAATAAATTAAACCTTGCCTATCAGAACTATAAATTATATAAAAACAGCACGTCAGTGAATGTTCTTCACTTTATAAATAGCTGGTTCTGAAACCTTAATAAAATATTTGCTTTCTACATAAAAACACTTAAAATAAAACAGTTAAAGTTCCTAAAATCAAGGACAAAAAAAGGTAAGACATTTTATGCCACATAGCTTATACTCTACCACTCACATCTTATCACTAACATAACTTACTGACCACTATAAACTATGCATAGCCATCTAATTCTTTTCCCAGGTAAAGGGATGGCAGCCTTCAAATGTTTTCTTATGTGATTCATTGCCCTAAATTAACTGCTTCTAATCAGAATAGGGACATTCCATAAACATGTGCGTCAGTGATCTGGATAATTAGGCTGATTTCTGGTTGTTCTTTATTGTTTCCATAATGCAAGCCTAAGGCATTTTTCCATGTTAAGGATGCACCAATCAATCGTGCTTGTGGACATATCTGTGCAGGCAAGGATCTTTCTGTCAGCTCAATGAAACTACTGAAACAAAACTTAGTCTATGAGACCTTCCACTGCCTTCCTTTCTGATGAAGAAAAAAGGAACACAATGAAATCAGGTGATGCTCAATCCCAACATCATCCTGCTGGTGTGAGTTTTCTGAGTGGTACTGATGGAGACCTTGTCTCAAGATGGAAAAAGTCTAAGTGAGATCTCGTCTACTTACTTTTCTTACAGAGAAAAGATAATCCCTAGATTCCATAAAGGCAAACTCTAGAAAGTGCTAGAACATGCACTAGATAACTAACAACTAACCATGTTTCAGGGGTGTAGGTTGTAGCCATGTTAGTCTAAGACAGTGATCTCCAAATTTTTTATGGTGAAGATCATTTTTTGTAAGTAAAGGGCACTCTAGGATCTACTGCCCCCGCCCTGCCTCCCCAGCCCCGCCCC